CTCTGTCACCACACTTGTGTTGGTTCTGACCTGACACTGACTTGTGGCAAGGTGCAACCCTAGCCAACTTTTGAATCTTTCGAACTGTTGCGAAATCTTGGAACGTTTTAGTGCGCTCCGCTGTGGCCGTTGATCGTTGTTGTGCAGCCCGTTGGGATGAATTTTACGCCAGTTTCAAAACTTGTAATTTTCTTGACATGTTACACCGCTAACTAACGAGAGATGAAATACCGCTTACAGAGCCGAGTTAGGCCGTGTGGCTTGGCGGTACGCACGGGGGTCTGTCGAACCTCTTCTCATGATAACCATTATCCGCTCGCTGCGTGAGAGTCTGATATCTACTATGTATAGACCGGCACGTTCAGAGAAATGGACATGAGACCAAGGGGGTGCACCGCTAGAGTCAAGCGCTGCCTCGCTAAAATATTATGATATTCCGGCCTGTTCAAGCCACTGGTCTACTAGTCCTACTGTCTAGGATCTCGCATTGAGATTGCTTTTTAAACATCGCAACCCTGTGCACGCCCCCAAGTCACTTTTCCATATGCGGCATGGCATACGATCCATCGATCTTCTCTGCTGGGATCTATTCGAACGTATCTGCCTGCCCCACCTGGAAGCAAAATCGACGTCAAGGGCATTATTTCTCTTCTCAAGGATCCCTGCCTCCCCTAATCCTGTTGTCCCCTACCAGGCGCCCACACTGAATAAGGCCACTAGCTGGATTGACAACAGCGACCCATCAAGCTAGCCCGATTTTATCAGGTTCTCCGTCAGAGCGGCAACTTCCACCTGTTTATTGCGGGTTGAGACAAAACGAAAAGGAGCTGCATACATATGGACATCCCAAGAAAATATTACGCCCATAATTATTTTGCTTGTGGCTCGCTCACGGTGAGCTGGCAGCGGGTTGTCGTGCTGCAACCTTGAAACGTAGTTAAACCATTCAGGCATTCCGTTGCCAACGAGGACCCTTGATGGGCCGTCTTAGAACTCTCAACACGCGGAAATTGGAACAAATCGTTCGGTTGCCATTAGGAGCATCCATCTGATCAATGTTCAGTCCTGTCTTCAAAACCTGGGGAGAGGTAACTATGATCATCCGTATCTTGGACACTGATCATCGAATTTACCCCGTCTGATATCAAAGAGCCTATTACTACTATAATTATCGGTTATTATCATTAACTTAGTTCCTTCATTTATTCTTATTCTAGCCGTTGTACTCCGTACCCGCTGGAGGATCTTGTTTTGAAATATCGATTGCTGGAAATACGCCGAAACCCTACGCCACGCGATACAATACATACATCACTGGTAAAATACAATCATCCCTCCAGGACCGGGGGATGCGTTTTATTACGGGGTACGTGTACCTTTAAAGATTCAGTCTCAGCCCGTCTGGGCAGACGTACGGTACGTACCATACTGGACCTGCCATCTGCATCTCTGGCTCACGCAGACGTCGTAGCTCGAAGCTGTTCATCTTCTTTTAGTCCACTGTCCACCCCGTTTTATGCTCGCTCTCTCCCACCACTCTTTTGCATTCATCTTCTTGTCCGGCAGGTCGATTTTGCATGCTTCTGTCCTCGAAAGTGCGTTGCCCTACTCGGTTATCGGTCGAGAGCTTCCATATTTGGTTCATTGCCCCCCAGTTCACCAACGACCCATATTCTGCTGTTTCCCCGGCGGCAACCTTGGTTCTATATGGCAGTTCTTCCAGAGACGAAACCCCGGTAGATGTTGGTTTGGTAGCTTCAGGCCTGGTTTCCTGGGTAAAAACAGGAGGTGATTTATTTATTACTACTTGTTAAACCAGACAAAGCAGGATTTGTTGCACCAACTGATCTGATCTGATCATTTCCGCCCCGCCGCTCCAGATTGGGTTGCTCTCCTGTCAATTTTTCTTCACATAAATCTTAAGCCGCAGGCTCTCTCATTGTCCATATAAACGAACAAACCCAAATTGCCTTTTGACACTGCCTCCGGCCCCACAGCCGCCCCAGTTATTATTATAGTACATTCCCGTCCCTTCATTCTGTTTCGGTCCCGAATCTTCTACACTGAACGAGGAGAAAAGATCCGCAAGGAACAGCTTCTACTTTTTTTGCTTGGAGATAACCTAATGCTCTTTTCGATACGATATATTTGTCTGTTAGTCTAGAGAACTTGGCGTCGTGTGACGTTGGAGCACCTGAGCAGCTCTTCCCGCTCGGTTGAGATCATTGTGCAAGCAGAGAAATTGGTCGTCAACGGTTAGCGGCAGCAACTCCGTATGGTGCCCGGAGATTAAAGTGAAGGCAGCAAACGTTTTTGGGACTTGCTTTGGGTGGGGGGGTGATTGAGCGTACTTGGTCGGTTATGTCGGTTTGATTTCGCTCAGGAGCTCGACGAAGTCACAAATATATCCCGGGCAATATGGTCACAGTGGATACGGGTAGGTATCTGCCCGTCTATGGAGTTTCAGGGTCGACAACCGCACCATTCCAATCACCGAGAGGAGAAGAGGACGGTATCAAGGAGCTTCGCGGCGGCTTACATCATGGCGATGCACATAGAGATTCCTTACCGTCAATAGGACAGTTGGATTTAGAAACCGCCAGCAAGGACCGTCAACACAACAGTGCACAATTCCCATCCGCAACGGCAGGATTGTCTGTTTCCAGTTTGACAATGGCCAATCATCCAGGCCATGCCCCTTTTGGCTATATGACATCTGCAACACCTAGATCGACTCTAGGCGGATCCGCAGAGGCCTCTCCTGGAGACATCAGGTATCCCGGAGACGAAAATAAGGAACAGAAAACCTCCAGCGAGCCTCAGCACACCGTTCAACGACAGTCCCTCCCTTCTATACACGAGGCATTAGGCAGCCACACTCTGCCCTATCCTCCTCACCCACCTTCATCTTCATCTAACTCAGGACACCCGCCTGTATCGATTTCTATCCCGCCGACTGCTGTTGCTCGTGTGGGTGCAGATGTGCCTTCTGGTCCTCCCAATCCGTTTTCAATCTCATCACTATTTTCAAGGGATAACCCATTCAATGCACATTCGAGTGCCCCTGGCATACCTCCCCGTCCCGAAGGACAGCGAGCCAGCTTTGCTTCAACCCACTCGCAGGAATCTCACAATCGATCAGTCCCATCCTTAAGCTCTGGGAAATCACCAACCCAAAGTTGTAAAACAGGGACATCCTCGCTTACAAACTCGCAATCTTCCACTTACGAATTCAGCGCATCACCTTCTGCGGCGCTGATGTCTTCGCACCCTTCGTATGCACCATACCCACAACAAGCACCGTATAGCGGCCCAGGTCATAACACTCCACCTTCGATGCAGTACCCTCCTGGGACCTTATGAAACACGCCCAGGCTTGGTTCACCCTTGGAACCAAAACGGTATCGATAAGGCCCGCATGGATCAACAAGGGGGCATCAGGGCAAGTAATGGCACCGCCGCCCCTCACAGCGAAACTGTTAAACGACAGCTTGATGTATATGATGTGGAATCGTCTTATCATGAGGTGGGTCTCTTTTCTATACTTAGGCATAATACTCTTGGTTAACACTTGAGCAGATTGTTGAAGCTGGCAGCAGAGTAGTTGAGTTTGCTAGACATTTTGGTGCCAAAGCCCACCAAAGTAATCGGTCTGGGCCTGTTGTAGGGTTGATACCACAATTATCGGAGATCGATGATATTGCACAGACGATTCGCCGAACATCTGACGCCTTGGCTAGGATTCGAGGGCTGGCTGTTGAGCAGGCGTTAGCGGATCAGCAGGTGGAGCAACGAGCTCAGCGACAAGCTTACAAAGCTAACGGCGCGCGTAATGAGGAACAAGCAGCTCCGTATCGGGAAGATTACAAAAGTGGTGGTGGATTTGCAGGCGGTGATACTAAGAAGCGCCGAGGGGTATGTATCCCTTTTTTTTTATCTCGTCTCTCTTGAACACCGCATATCGTTTACCTATTCAACGTACAACGTTAATTCTCCCTACCCACCCTGGGCAGAACTAACGACATCTACAGAAGGCGGCCCCACCTGGCCGATGCCATAGCTGTAATCGAGCAGAAACTCCTGAGTGGAGACGAGGACCGGATGGCGCTCGAACTCTCTGCAACGCCTGTGGCCTTCATTACGCAAAACTAACTCGGAAAGCTGGCAATAATAAACATTCCTCGCTGGGACCAAATATCAGACCTAAAAACAGTGCTGAATCTCGGTCCCCAACGCGTTCTTAACTGCCGATATACCGTTACGTTCGCCTTCCTAATGTGTACTGTTAGTACCCAATGGAGTTAGGTATTGGGATTTCATCGTTTTCGTTCTCAAAAAAGTTGTGATATATCCAACTGGGTAGAACAGATTGGCGTTCTTTTTTTTTTTTTTTTTTTTTTTTCTTTTTCCTTTTTTTTCCCCCTTCGCTGCTATCTCCTCGTTCTATTTTCTGGCTATATCCGCTTCTATTTTCTATTTGGTCGACGCCAAATTGTTGTTCCTCTTGTTCCCTTTATTTTTCTTCACAAACTTTCTATTCTTTCTTTGTTTATAATATCCTTGGGTCGGTTTATTGCCTGGTCGCGAGAACGCCTGCTTCCTTTGATTTTTTTTTTTTTTTTTTTTTTTTTTTTTTTTTTTGTTTGTTTTAAACTTTTCGGGGGTTCCGGATATTCCTGTCGAAGGGGCAATGGGGGTGGGTTCAACAACGTTGCTTTTCTGCTCTTGCAGGTCACCGTTTCATCGGATAG